TTATTATTATTATTATTATTATTATTAGTGAGATCGAGACATTTTGTATCTCTATATTTTATTTAATAACTATGTTTAAAAATTATCAATATTTTTTTAATCAATTAGTGTTGCATTTGGTCCTAAAATCTCAAGGTCTTGAATTTGAATTTTGAGTTTATAAAGATAGTTAATTTTTTATATTATTTTTAAATATTTAAAATTTAAGAGTAAAATTGTTTAAAAAATATGTACACGAATTCAGGTTATCACCTTTATATATGTTATAAATTATTATTATTATTATTATTATTATTATTATTATAGTCGGAAGTTCTAGGGTGGAAGCTTGAAGTGACCTTGGGGGTTTTCAAGACACTTCTGCAAGTACTAAACGAAACTACTCCTAAAAACTAATTAATTTAAGAGGCAAATTTACAACCCAATTGAATGAATAAGGCCCAAAATACAAGTGGCCCAATCAAAACAACCAAAAATTGGCGCAAAAACAAAAGAAATAAGCAAGAAAATTCTTCAAACTCCAATTTGGTGCTCCCTTCACAATGAAAAAACTTGGTTAGTTTCCTCCCAATGTGTTTGACACTCTAAGTTTGTGATGGTTCCCTCCGAAAGCTCTTTGGATCTCACGGCCAATTCCTCCAACTCAATCTTCCCCAAAATTGCATGGAAGTGTGGAAGTAGGCTTCATCTACACCAAATGAAACAAACCAACCAAGAGCAAGAAAGGAGGCCAAGAAATAAAAACTAAATGCTCAATTAGAAAGGCTAAACTCAAGGGGAATATTGATGAGACAAAACACAAGGAATTCCAAGAAAGACAAGCAAAAAATTAAGACATATTTAAGAAGGCAAGCACTCAAAGAAAAATCCTAGAAGGGTTCTAGAATAAAATTAAGTGTTTAATGTTCCTTGTCCTTAAATGAAATCAATTAGTGTAAGGTCTCTTCCTTAATGTCCAGCCACGGTTTTGGTCATAAAATGGGTCCAAATATGGGTCCAAAAATGGTCCAAGTCCAACTAGTGTGGAAGGTTATAATGGTAATTGTCCACAAGTCTAGCAACAATTTCCTTTTAAATTTTTTTTCTATTGTATTTTTCCAGCCAGCTTTTGGTGCATCCCCTTGGTCATTTTTTTTTGAATTTTAACCTATTATGCATCATACATCATACATGGTTTGCCCACCATCATGATCAATAAACATACTCATGCCATAAAGCATCACATGCAATAATGCATCATACATCATACATGGTCTACCACCATTATGATCAATAAACATAACCATATGAACATATACACATGTCATATCATATTCAAACATTCATAAGTATCATCACAAAGCATACATATGAATCACCCCTCACCATACATCATATATCATACATACATGATCTAAACTTCAACTTTAAACATGCATAAGCATCAATTTATTCATAAACATATTCACGCTCGGCGTAGTGATGGAACTAGGTGAGGAGATTGATGTTCCTTCACTTTGCTCCATGCTTAGGACCGTGAACTCTTGAGGTAGATCTTTGGAAGAAGCTTGAAGCTCCATGAAGAGGTCTTCAATGGAGGAGAAGCCTCAAGGTGGTTCGGTTACTCCTTGCTTAGTGTAGAAGCTTGAGGAACCAATGGTTAAGGTTGAAGAACCTTGGTGAAAACTTAGAGAGAATTCTCCACGGTTTTAGAATGGACTCTTGATGAGAGAAATCTGATTATTATTTCTCAATTTGCTCAAAAGTGATTTAATTAAATTATTAGTATATGTGTAATAATATGATATTTTGTACCTTTAATTTTATATATTAAATTTATAATGATTACTTTTGATATTTAAGTTTTGTTCTTTGAATATATGATGATTATTAATTTTTATTCTCTTAAAAAAATTGTCCTCACTAATCCAGGATTTTGGATCTGTCACTACACCTATCATTTTTTTAAAAAAAGTTAATGTTCCTAAAGTACCATATAACTTTTTTTATTTTGGACTGACCAATATTAAAAATGTGTTTCATAACACTCATTCTAAAGTTTTAAAAGTGTACTTTAAAACACTCAATATAAAATGTTAAATTGTTTCAAAACACATATTTTAAAAATATTACAAATATATTTCAAATTTTTTTTTTCTACAATGAAAATTTTTATATAATTTAATTTTTAATGCAAACTCCTTCGTTGAGAAGATATCAAAATGTGTTCTAAAATACCTATTTCAAAATATTAAAAATATATTTCAAAATATATTTTTTGAATTGAAAATTTTGATAGACTTTACGATATATTTTGTACCTCTATATTTTATTTAATAAAGGTGTTTAAAAAATTGTCAATATTTTTTAAAACAATTGATGTTTCATCTAGTCTTAAAATTTAAGGCCTTAATTTTGAGTCTTAAGTTTGTAAAGACAATTATTTTTCAACATTATTTTTAATATTTAAAAATTTAAAAGTAAAATCATTTAAAAAATGTGTACACCAATCCAGACTATTGTCTTTATATATTTACATATTATAGATTATTATTAATAATTAATTATATTAATATTTATCACATAATAGTATTATAACTTTTTTGACTCATAAAAATGTTATAGCTATGTTTGAAAATCGTAAAACTATCCCATCCAAACTGAAATATAATTGGATTGAATTAAATTTGATTTAAATTTTAAATCAAACTGATTGGATGATAAATGAACAAAAGCAAATAGATTGGATTAGATGATCTGAACACCCCTAATTGCAATTTTAAAATAAATATAAATAAAAAATTTATATAAAAAATAACTACCTCTAGTCTTAATTATAAGCAACATAGGATAAATTATCAAGAGTTCAAGACCAAGAGAATTTACTAAGTTGGTTGTTTTTAATTAATTATACCATAAATTCAAATTTTATTCTTAAGATACCATTTGTTTTAAGTAATTGTTATATTTAATGTTAGTTATACGTAAATGCATGAGAAATTGAGTTAACAATTAGTCAAGGACATGAAAGAAATTTACTCTTTAATAATTTTAAAAACTAATGATTGTTACTTATCATTAGGATAAAAAAAATCTAATTTGCTTCTCATAATTAAGACCAAAGGTAGTATTAATTATAAAATTATTCATTATTTTATACAAAATTAATAGTAATAGTAAATTATTTAATCTAATAAAAAAATACAAAATATTATAATAAAAATTATTTTCCACAAAATTAACGTAAAAAAATAGAGTTGGGCAGAAACAATGTAATTTTAAAAAAAATATTTTTTTAATATTTTTCAATGTAAACATTATTAATTGCTACTAAATTTGTGTTTCATTACTAAATACTAATATTAATAATTACTAAAAAATTAAATTCTGAAAATATAAGTTGTAATTATAAAAAAAAGTAATTATATTTATATTACTTCTTAAAATTCTCAAATAAAATTCAATTAATAATAATGTTTTTTATGAAATAAAATAAAAATCTTAATACAGAAATTATTTTCAACTAAATTAATTATACAGGCATGCTCCATTGCTACCTGTACTGTCCGTACCGCGAAGCCGAGCTCCGAGCTCGGCATCACAGCACAAAATGAGGTCGGGCACGCGCTACGCGACGTCAGCTCGGCATTTAAGCAGATCATAACCGATCTCGAGGGATCTCGCTTCAGACGGGATCCACCATTTAATCCTATCATATCTTATCTCAGGCCCAAGGCCCAAAGCAACTCTAATTCACACTAAGGTACGTGCATTACTTATACGAGATTCATACTCCCACAAAC